AATTACCCTTTCAAGCTCAGCTAAGAACTTGTTGCCACTGCACATGTGCCCATGGAAGCATCATGAGTCTTTTTAGCAAATAAGAGTAATCTCCAATACAAAATAAAGAATAATGTGTCAAATCCTCAAGGATTTTGAGTAAACTAATGCAGACCTTTTAATAGTCATCATATGTGCTGGGTATTCTTTCATTAAATCCATTAACAGCCCAGTAGATTAGATCTTTGCTAAGGCACCTTATTTGTACCAAATGGCAGAGGCAATATTCAAATCCAGATTTCCAACTTAACCATTTTTTAACATAGGTTGAAAATGCATCAATAACTAGTCTTAAAAACAGAACACTGGTGGCATGGAAGTCCTGTTTTGGAAAGATTTACACATCTCTTTCCAATAAATACCAGTACAATTATCTAAAACTCCTGCTCATTTACGTACGAGTGGATGATAAAAGACAGCTATCTTGAGCCAAGTACTTCTAAAATTCTTTCTTCATTTATTCTCTCAAGGACTTTATATGTTTATTTTATATAAGCACCATCTTTTAATAATCAAAATCTTCTGCAATCTTGCTTCTGTCATATAATATACTAATTATCTGACCAAGGAAAAGATGTGAACTGTAAATTCAGTAAGTATGTCTTCTATATTCATCTAGATTTTGTCCCCTGGGGGACATCAGTGACATCTAGCAATGTCTGAAGTATTTTTTGTTGTCATAATGTGTGTATGTGTATGCGTGTGTGTATGTGCATGAATACACTACCAACACCTAGTCAGTAAAGGTTAGAGATGCTGATAAACACACTATATTACCCCACCCCTCATTACAACAACAGTCAACAGTGCCCAGGTTGAGAAACCTTGATCTAAATCACTGATTAAAGTGCTAACCAAATACAAACAAAATATTTGGACACATTAAAGAGATTCCAAGCTATAAGTCCATTAACCAGCAATAGTCTTTAAGTAATATAGCTTCTCTACTTGCTAAGAATTCACCTTAACACAGAATTAGTCAGCTATCATATGAATACAGGCATTTTAAAATGTATTCAGTAGCAAAACAATGAGCTCAAACATAGCAATGACTGTGAGGATAGCACAGGATAGTGCAATGTTTCATTCTACTATACATAAGGTCACTATGAGGTGGAGGTGACTCAATGTCACCTAACAGCAGTTGCAAAAAATTTTCCATTTAGAAAGAAGAATGAGAAATTTAATAATGAACTGAACAATTCAGTTACAGAAGTTTGAATACTTTTTTCATTTACCTACTTCCAAAATGGTTCTCCAATGAAATACTGCAGTGTAGTAAATTACTTAGTGTGGCTTTTCTATCCCTAAGTCTTTGTAAACTCCAAGGTGGGATTTTCTATGAGCAACTGAGGAGCTCCTGATTGCTGAAGCTATCCACCTGGGCTATTTCTGTTGGGCGTGGCACAATACAATGTTCTGGCAGGTTCCCACTCTCTCTCACGTGCTTAGAGTTCTAATATTGTGATTGGCTAGTTTGACCACCCTTCCGGGCTCAAAAGGAGGCCTCCTGGAGGTAGAACTCTCTCTGACTACTGGTGGAGGAAGATGTGCTGCCGAAAGAGACACGCGTCCCGGAAAGAGACACGTGCTGCTGGGAAAGAGACACAAGAGACACGCATTGCTGAGTGAGACACCGAGGGACCAGCACTGCCGGGAAAGAGACTGTAGGAGACTGTTGGCTGAGGGACGGTGGGCTGGGAGAGAGACTGAGCATTTTTCCTGAACTTGAATTGTAGCCTGTGGTGCTTCCATAATAAACCCCACAATCTGTGAGTTCTGTGTGGCCACTGCAGTGAATTATCGGACCCAGGAGAGAGGTGGTGGGTGCTTTGGGAGGAACGGTTGGAGCAAGGGCTGGAGGGGGGAGGCAGCATGTCTGGCCTGGCAGGAATAGGCCTTGGGTTACTGCTAGTAATCCTGTCTTTCTCTTGTGGGATTAGAGGAGGTCAGAACGTGTGGCCTCCTTGCCGTTTTAGCAAATACCTTACCACAAATGATTAAGGCAAACTGTACACTTGAATTTTGAAATATCACTGCAAACACATGTGCAAACAAATATGCCACAATTCAATTAAAGCAATACAATTTCCACCTTTCAAATCAGCAAATTTGTTTTCAAATGACACTACTCACTGGTAATGACATCAGGTGCCACTGATTCAACTCTCATAGCGATTCCATCTGTGTGAGAACAGAACTGTCTTCCACAGAGTATTCAACTTTTCCGAAGCGTATCACCAGGCTTCTTTCATGTCACCTCTGGGTGGACCTTGACCTCAACATTTCAGTTACCACTGAGTGTGTAAACCATTTGAATCATCCACTCATTCCAAGTGCTAATAAAGGAATGTTTAAACAGGTATTCTCACACATAAATGAAAGTGAAAACTGACATAACCCCGCTTTACTATTACTCTCATTTTACATATGGGGAAACAGAGTCACAAAGAACTTAAGCTTAGCTCAGGATCATGTAACTTGTAAAAAGAACTGATCAGATTTTGAATAGAGGTACTATTTTAGTATCTTTATGTTACACAGAATTTTTACATAAGATATCCACAAGTATATAAAATGCATCAAAAGGACTGGAAGACAAAGTTGAAGAATAAAAGAGTAGGTAAAAAAAAAATGTGTAATGTATACAACAAACACTTAAAAATTAGCAAGTGATATAAACAAGTATGTCTTAAAAGAAATAAAAACATCCCAAGAGCTCTGCCTCTCTAATAATCAAAGATATGCAAGAAAAAAAGTTCAATATCATTCACTGAAAATATAATGATGATTTAAATAGGTACTCTCCTACTTTTTTGGTGAGTATACAAAATGGTCCCTTTTGTTGGGAGGACAATTTGGAGTTTCTATCAAAATTTGAAATGCACATACTCTCAAACCTAGGAATTCTGTTTCTTGTAATTGATCATACAGAAAGAGTCATATAAGCACACAATTTGTTCTAAGATATTTACTGCAACATTATTTGCAGTAATTGAAAACTAGAAACAAGATGAATATTCAAAAATAAGGGAATTATTAACAAGATAGGATATATTTGTACTACAGAATATACTATCTGAAAACAATGAGATAGTACCTGTACATCAATGTTCACTGCAGCACTTTTCACAAAAGCCAAAAGATGGAAACCAACAAAATGCCCATCAACAGACAATGGATAAATAAAGTGTGATACATACACAATGGAATACCACCATAAATACAGCCATAAAGAGAAACGAAGTTCTGATGTATGCCAGGACATAAATGAACCATGAAAACATTACACTGAGTGAAATAGGCCAGTTGCAAAAGGACAAAAATTGTATGGTTTCACTTACGTGAAATAAACAAATATACAGAAACCGAAGATTATTAATGGTTACAAGAGATGGGAAGAATGGGAGAAGGGGGAGTTTTTGCTTAGTTTATATGAATGGTGGCAGAATGATTTGGAATAGGATAGTGAGAATGGTCACACACCTTGAGAAACGTATCGGTGTCACTGAATTGTACATGTAGAAACTGATGGCATGTATTATATAAATTTTCAACATAGTAAAATCAAAAAGGAAAGAAATCCATAATACATTGTTAAATAGAGAAAAGCTAGATGCAGAAAAAAGTGCATATCTATTAATAAAAACTATTAATGATGGATAATTTGCGGAGAATGATGTCACTTTTTATACTTTTGTTTGGATTTTTAATATTATGTTTCACTTTAATAGTTGAGAAACTCAAGAAAGTATTATTAGAAGGAAACAGAAAATGTTATCAATTCCAGATAGTTGTATTTTTCCTCTTTAATGATGAGGATGTATATTATTTTTATAATACCCACTATATACTGACTCCTTCCCACATTATCAGTCACCCTCTAGGTGAGTTAACATACCTAAGGCCACAACTCTACTACAAGGTAGTGATCCTGAGCTCCATAACTTAGATGGTAAAGGAGATTAAGAAAATGACTCTAAAACGTTATGTTGCTAATGTCCTCATGAGAAACCACTAAAAATGTTAATAAAACCAACGCCAAATTACGTCTACATTCAAGAAGTTTAATTTGTCATCCCAGAGACTGGGATGCTCCAAAATAACAGGATATGAATTTGGGTTCAAAACTCAGACTATATACTGAACATACTATGCTTGGAAAAACCACCCCACAAACATTTATGCACCTAGAGACATAAAAATATTATGTTTAAGTTTTTTAGTTTTGAGAACTAAGCTCTGATGACAATCCTTCTGAATTGTTTCCTTCATAAAACACATTTTATATTTGATAAAGCACAAACCAGTTACTTTAAAATTAAAACAATTCACATCTATTTCTAAATATGTCACTTTCTAAATGTACAAATGAATAGTCTCATATGAAAGACATAATTTTACTTTTGGAAGCCAACTAGGAAAAAGATAAATCACTTTTATTAAGTGTTGACCATATACAGTAAATACATAGCAATATCTTGTACAATATCCTTTGAAAAGCTGGAAGGTTTATTAGCGTAATAGTAATTCTGATAGTTCTCTCTTTTCAGTTTACGGAATAGTATAACTGGAAGTGAATCTTACACAGTTTACCTAGTCTTACAGGTGAGACCCAAAGAAGGGAAGTAATGTGGACTAGTTAAACTCTAAGATCCTTTTGAACTATACTATTCCAAAAACTGCAAAGACAGAACCATCAGAATAGTTCAAAGACACAACAGTTACTCAGGTTGAAGAAACAGAACCACATTTTCTGGCTCTATATCCAGAATCTTGACTTCTGAAAGTATTATCCAATAATCTAATTATAAAAGTTTTCTCCATTATCTTGTGGACCAGTAACAAATAGCTCATAGACCACACTTTAGGTAGCAATACTCAGAGCAAACCAAAACTTAAAGGATATCTGTGATCAAACCAGAACACCTGATTTGCTAACAAAGAAGCTAGCAACTTACTTCTTATCAAAAAATGTTGAATTCTCTTTTCTCTTGGTGAATCCATTGGGTAGAAGCTTTAAGTAAATACCTTGCCTCCGGGCACGGTTTTTCAGATAGTACATCTAACAACCAAAAACAGACAAAGTAAGTTTAAAATGCCTTAATTTTCAAGTGAGTACAATAATGTTTAATAAAGTAGTTAAGTTTTACTGACTGATTATCATGTATCACAAACAGTAAGGAGTAATACCTCATTTAATCTTCACAACAGTATTATGATATAGGAACTATTATCACTCTCATGTTAGAAGTGAGAATTAATGATTTTGCAACATTACATGCTTATTTCTGAGAGGCAGAGCCCATATTCAAATGAAGGTTTGCATAATTCCAGAGCCTATGCTTTTAACTGTACACTCTACAAGCCAAAAGGATTTCATGGGAATTAAAAAAAAACCAAAAAACCAAAAAACAGGTCACTTGGTAATTACAAAAACTTCTTATAGTTCTCTTTTCCCTTTTTCTGACTGTTTCATATGTTGTTTTGGGTGTTGTGAAGTTCATTTCAACTAACAGTGACCCCATATGACAGAGTAGAACTGTCCCACAGGGTTTCCTCCCATGGAGCTGCTGGGTGGGTTTGAACTTTCAACATTTCACTTAGCAGTCAAGTACTTAACCCGTGTGCTTCCAGGGCTCCATAGCTGTCTATGTGTATGCCTTTATCACTCAACAGGTGGCTCACTTGGGGAGGAACCAGGGCACTACCCAAAACAGGCCTAAATCAGAAGTAGTCACTGTTATGGGTAGAAGAAAACTAAGAAACGAAAATATTCTGACTGTGACATGTATTACTCCATTGATTACTTGGGTTAGGTAAGCTGAACTAGGCAATCTCAGAGAATGGTGAAGAAAGTATCATTAGGTTTCAGTTAAGTCAAGAAAAAAAGATCACTCAAGAAAAAGGCAAAATGTAAAGACAAGTGTTTTGGTTAACTGAATGGCAATCTAGGATTTGCAGTGAAAAAGACAAGCCATAAACCAAGGAACAGGAAGAGCCTTTCATCAGCTAACTAGGAAAATGATTAAGAGAGAACAAGTAATTTTGTAACTTTTAAATAAGTAATTTATAGGACTTTGGTTTCAATATAGTACTGACAAGATGGACCAACTCTCCCACTAAGAATATCTTGGAATGCTAGCTAATGGGAGGAAGTATCTACATAAATAAATACATAAAAGATCATATTAAATGCATCAAAAAGCTGACAAAATAATTCAGAAATAGCAGGCAAATACTTACAAAACTGAAACATATTTTGGGCCATAAAAACAAGTCTCATTCTATTTTGGAATGAATTCAGAGATCTCTGATTAAAATGTAATTAAGCTACAAATAATATTTAGAAAACTCCCAAATTAATTAAGAAACACCAACAAAACTATCCACAGATCAGAGAAGAAATCATTTAAAAACAGTCTATTTCAAAACTTGTGGGATACAAATCAAGTAATGCATAAGATGGAAATTTTTATTCTTAAATGTATACATAAGAAAAGAATAAAGGGTAAAAAGTAATGAGTCAATCATCTATTTTAACTCAGAAAAAGAAGATCAAAGAAGAAAAGAGTAATATAATTCAGAACTAATGAACAAAATAGAAAGCAAATATAATAGCAACTGATTTAGAAAAAGACACAATCAAAATTACAAGTGATTGTTACAACTTCTGTAGACATACAGAAAATTAGACTGTTAAGAAAAACTTTATACCAATAAATTTGATAATTTAGATCAAACAAATTCTTAAAACATGTAATTTACCAAAACTGAATCAACAAGAGAGATAAAACCTCGACAGATCTGTAATTATCAAATAAATTACTTTAGCAGCCCAAACTACAAGTTCATATGGGTTCACTGATAAATTCTACAAACCCTCAAGGAAGAAACAATTCCAGTATTAGCCAGTACTTGCATGAACAGAATGGAAATATTCCCAACTAATTTTATGAGGTCAGCATCACACTGATACAAGAATATAAAAAAAGGAAAATTAGACATCAATCTCACTTAGGAACAGGTAAAAAATGAACAAATGAATAGACAGAGATGCACACATACCCACATAATGCAAGTGAATTCTGCAATGCATAAAACACATAACATACCATGACCATAATATACCATGCTAAAACCAACAAAACCAAAGTCACTGCCATCGAGTCAGTTTCGACTCATAGTGACCCCTCCTTCTGTTTCTGAAGCAGTATCTCTATGGAAGTATATTGCCCAACCTCCCTCCCATAGAGTGGCTGGCAAGTTTGAACCACCAGCCTTCTGGTTAGCAGTCAAATGCCTTAGGCACTATGTCACCAGCATTAGTTTAAATTCAAAAATTAATTATGCAGTTCACCATGTTAGATTAAAATAAAATGAAAAACGTCAAATATGTAAAAAGTATATGACCAAATATAATACCAATTCATGATAAAATCTGTTAACAAACTAGGATAGAACTTCCTTAATCTAATAAATGACACCAGGAAAATACTTAAAAGCAAACAACATCAACATTGGTAAAATACTGAAATCTTCCCCTTTGAGATTAGGAGGAACAAGGCAAAACACGTTTAGACTACTATTTTCAGACTCCATTTGCAAAACTGGTATCTGGGAACTTGACTGACAAATAGTTCCCTATACTTACATAAAACTTTTCCTAAATGATTGGCTTCTCTCTGCCTAAACTGTCTGTATAAACAATGTGGTTTATACTAACATGTGCTTTCCTTTTGGGAATCTGGAAATTTAGTACATGCTAAGCAGAGGGTACCTATATTGTTGTTGTTGACATGCGCCGTCGAGTTGGACCTGACTCATAGCGACCCCACCATGGGTTTTCCAGGCAATATCACTACGGAAGTAGATTGCCCCATCTTCCTTCCGAGGAGTGGCTGGTGGGTTTGAATTACCAGCCTTCTGGTTAGCAGTCAAGTGCCTTAGGCACGACGCTACCAGAGCCTTAAGCACTGAGTCTCTAATAAGCTTCCCCGATAGACAGCACTTTGCATGTACTGTCACAACTCACTGTTAAAGAAATTAAGTATGACTTCACTGGGAGAGGACTCCTGCAAGCTTGCACCTAGTTTCCTACTGACTTCGTCCGTCCTATGTACCTTTCCTCTTTGTTAATTCTGCTTTGTATCCTTTCACTGAACTAAATCTTAGCAACAAGTAGGACTATATGTTAAGTCCTGTGAGTCCTTCTACTGAATCACTAAACCTGGGAGTAGTATCAGAGATCTCCAATACAGACGTCTACTACCACTGCTACCATCTGACATTGAACTGGAGTTACTAGTTATTTTAAAAAGGTGATAAAAAGAATAAGGATTAGGGAAAAAAAAAAAAAAAAAAACTCTGATAAAGAATCTATATATAAGGAAAAAAAAAAAAAAAAAAACTCTGATAAAGAATCTATATATAAGGGATTGAAATAGATTTTTATAGATTTTTATATGGTTGTCTGCTATAAAGTAAAAGAAATAAAAATTAAAATCTCATTCCTATATGCCAGCAAAGGGACAATAATAATTAAAAAAAGAAATAAAAAAGCTACAGAGAACATATCACTTAAGATAAAATAAAAAAGTAAGGTGCCCAGGAGTAAATTTAACAACGTGTAAGACCTTGTGGTAATTAAGTTTGTGTGTCAACTTGGCTGGGCCTGGTTGAGCAGCTGGGTAGCTGGATGTAATTATTCCCCATGGTGAGATTGGTAATGAACTTCATGGTGCAATGTACTGGAGCAGCTGAGAAGCTGCTTTAGGGATGTGGTCTGCTTTCTGTATATAAGAAATAGCCTTTTGGCATGCTTAAACCTGCATATAACCAAGTCATTGTTCAACAGCTTGCCATGCTCTGCCGATCCTGGGACTTCATCCAGACTTGAATCAGTGGCTTACCATGTTGTATGGTAACATTGGGACTGTGCCTTTTACTTGTCAACCTTGGGCTTGTCAGCCTCAGCAGCTGACAACCTTCTTTGTGTGAAGAAAAGCCTCCAGCTTCAGTGGACTAGGAGCAGAAGGCAGAGCTAAAACCCGAGGCTGAGGGGCTTTCACACAGCCCCTAAAGGCTGGTACTTTGAACTCAGAATTAAAGCCTCCAAACTGTAAGAGAATAAACTCCTGTTTGTTAAAGCCATCTCATTTATGGTATACTCTTGATAGAGTGGCACTAGGTAACCAGAACAAATATCTATTGGGAAAATACATAGAGAAGCATTAAAGATGACCCAAATAAAATAAGAGAGATACAACAAAATCAAGGGTTTAAGTAAGATTTAAATAGTAAAGAAATCAAATCTATATATCAACAAAAATGTTAAATCTTCAGAATAAATGTAATCCTAGTCAAAATTCCTGGCCAACAATTGGGGTACGTGGGAAGAGGCTGTGCAAAAGGTACTGTAAATCTTATCTAGAAAAAGAACAAGGTGGATTTACTCTATCAAATGCAGAGTTGGTAAAAAACTACAAAAATTGGTGAAGGGATACAGAAACATATCAATGTAACTGAACACAGGTCAGAAACAGATTTAAGCACATATGGATTGCACGACACGTAACAAAGGTCATTCTTCAGAGCAGTAGGGAAAAGATGAACTTTTCAATAAATGTTGTTAGGGAAAATATCTATCTACATGGGAAAAAAAACTGAATTTGGCCTTTGCTTCACATAACACACAAAAATCAATTCCAGGTAATTGAAAGACAATACTGTAAAGATTTTAGGAACTAATTATGGAAGAGTATCTTCAATACTTTAAGGTAGAAAAGGATTTTTTTTTCAAAAAGACATAAAACCACAAACAAATGATGAAGGTTACATTAAATTAAGAACATTTGTCAACTAAAAAGGAGCTCTGGTGTACAGTGGTTAAAGCAGTCGGCTGCTAACCAAAAGGCTGGCAGTTCAAACCCACAAGCTGCTCTACAGGAGAAAGATGAGGCAGTCTGCTTGTATAACAATTTACAGCCTTGGAAACCCTATGGTGCAGTTCTACTCTGTCCTACAGAGTCACTATGAGTCAGAAACAACTTGGCAGTGGTGGGTATCCACTAAAAGACACCACAGAGTAAAAACCTAGTAGTGGTTATATAAATTGGTAACAATACTTGGAAAATGCTTTGCAAACAACCAACCTGAAGATGTGTTTACCACCACAACAAAGCATCCACAGTAGTACTGGTTCTTTTCTGTTCCTTTATTCCTTCTTTTTTAATATTATAGGAAATCCAAAGTTCATGAATAGTAGAATGGATAAATGGTGGTATAGTCATTTGGTAGAAAAATATTCAGAAATTCTAATCTAATATTTGAAAAACAATTGTAAAAGGCACTGAATAGACAAACTCTAAAAAAAGACCAAGATGAAGGATTTATTCTATCAGATACTGAGTTTCAGTAAAAAGTTACATTAATTGAGTGCAGTACTGGTGAAGAAATAGGTAAGCAGGTAGCAGGGAACTTCTCAGAAGCTGGAAATGATCTAATTTTAGATCTGCGTGGTAGTTACAAGGATGTTTGCTTTACAATTATTCATTAGACTGTATTTTCTATTTTATGCATTTCATAATAAAATTAAAAAGTAATTTACTGATTTTAAGTAGAATTTTGATTAGATTTAATAAAGATGGATGAAAAATAAGTTGATATATAACTTTTCTTTCAGATGTCTATTGTCATCCTTGTACCAATGAAAAAGGTGTTTAAAAGGTATGAAAAATTCTGCAATTCTTAATACTAAAATAAAACCAAAATCAAACCCACTGCCATCAAGTCCATTCTGACTCATATAGACCGACAGGACAGAGTAGAACTGCCCCATAGGGTTTCCAAGGCTGCAACTCTTTATGGAAGCAGATGACCTTATCTTCCTCCCATGGAGTAGCTGATAGGTTCAAACCACTGACCTTTTGGTTAGCAGTAAAATGCTTTAACTACTACGCCACCAGAGCTCCTTAATAATAAAATTTGTTGTTACGTGCTGTCGAGTTGGCCCTGACTCACAGCAACCCCTCCTTGGGTTTCTGAGGTGGTATCACCACAGAAGTAGATTGCCCAACCTTCCTTCTGAGGAGTGGCTGGTGGGTTTGAACCACCAGCCTTCTGGTTAGCAGTCAAGTGCCTTAGGCTAATACTAAAATAGCCTCTGGAAAATGAACATAATCATATAATGTGATTTAATCACATTACTAAATTATTTCTAGGATAGTAGTATTTCATATTGCATAATACGTAAGAAAGTATGAAAATTAAATGTATTGCAAAGAACTGATCAGCTTAAAACTTTAAAACTGGAATCTAATCATTCTCAACAATTCTAACAACATTTTCCCAACCACGATTATCTCCTGCCTGAACCAGAGCAATAGCTGTGACTGGCCACCATGCTTCCAAATCTTCCACCCTTGCCCCTTGAAGTCCATTCTCCACATAGCAGCAATAGATCCTTCAAAAGGCAAACATGCTCAAAATACTCTCATGGCTTCCAATTTCACCTAAAATACACTATCAGCCCTTAACTGTTTTACTAATTTCATGTTCAACGTTCTCCTCACACCTATGCTTCAGTTACCTTTTCTTATTCCTCAAACACGTCAAGCTTGTTCCTTACTGAGGAACTTTACTTTTTGCTTGTCTTTGCCTAAACAGTCTTCCTTGAAATGTTTACCTGACTTTTTCTTTCCCATCACTCAGATCACTGCTGAAATACCACCTTTTCAGGGAAGTTTCTTCTGACTACTCTATTAAAATGGGACCCTGAAACACATCCCTACCTACATGCCCACACTCCCACCACTGTTATTTCTTTGTCTCCTAAGACTTATTTTCTGCATGTACTTAATTGTCTGAGATTACATTTGCTCCTTTACTCATTTCTTCTGTCTCTTCTACCACAATACAATCATCATGAGGGGAAGGACTTTATTTTGTTCCCTGCTGTATCGCTAGTAGAATAATACTAGATAGTGGCAGCCACTTAATTCATTCATGAAAGAAAGAATTTAGCTGATTGAAAGGAGTTAGAACTGGAAGGGATTAGAAGAAACACTTACATATTTATTTCCTATTGGTCTTTTCAGGAAAGTGTCTCTAGAAATATAGTCTGCTGTTCTTGCCACATCTTCTAAAAATCGATAATCTAAAAATTTCAAAATAGAAAAATGAATGAATGACCTAAGTCAGTGGCCAGGAAACATCAATCTGCTATGCATGTGATGGCTTACCACTTAGAAGATTCATTTCAGTAAACTGCTGTATTGAAACAAATGCAGTTTTATCTCGAACTCCATTACATGTCAGTTCTGCTTTGTGTTTCTTTACACAGGACAAACTGAAGAGACAAAGAGAAGGTACTTTTTTACTTTATGGTAAGAAGGGTACAGATAGAAGTAAAAAGGTAGGAAGTTACCTAAATACCTGCAGGAATATCGCATACAACGTGGACATCTGTACTTTGCTTCTTCTGTTCCACAAATTTCACACCTACAAAAACCCACATGTAATTTAATTATCAGATATTAATTTCACTTATTTATTTATATACTTTGTGTGCTGACTCAATTCCCTGTCACACTCAATTTACAGACATGTAGTCACATTGAATAAAATATATGCAAAGGTAAACCTGGTAAAATACTTGGTGTTTTCAAGCATTGTTTGAAAACTCTCCTCTTTGAAAGCATCTCCAAATGACAACTACATTTACAATGTTGGCAATAATACGCAATTAAAGAAATAAAAAAAAAAAAAATTTAGACGAAGTAGCAGTTGCATCTATCTATTTTCCTCCCTCTATACTCATCCTAGAACAGGCATCAAAATAATGTAGAAATGCTATTACCCATTACTATCTTCAACTGTTCTCAGATCTTTGGGTACTTACAGCCAAACTATAGCTAATTCTACTTAACCCACTGTTCTATATAGTAATCCTCCCAAGACTCTAGCCACTGTTTTATTTCTTTCTGTCACATGGTCATATACTATAAGGAAATTAAAGAGTAAATGAAATGCAAATCAAAAACAATAGCCATAGTACCCATGCAGAAACCAGACAGGTGAGTTTGAGTGTATTTTCTCTAATATTAACTTAATCATATTTGGCCTTGTTGGTTTTATTATATTGTTCCTCATCTCCATCCTCTGAAAGAAATGCCAAGCTAAGAGTATATTAAGAAGTCAAGTCAGGACCTATTTTCAAAGGGATTCCAGTCCCTACACTTTTCATTTCCTAACTTCGCCACTACCTTTCTGACTTACTACCAACCTCGCGCGTTTTACTGTAGTTGTCATCTGACTACATCCAACACTGTCCCTCCCCCACCCCACCCCCCAGCTGGTTCCTAACTCACAAACTTGCACTACTTTTCACTTTTCCATCCCCTGCAGGTTGAATGTAATTTCTTCAGTCTGGACAACAGAGAACTCCATAGCTTTAGTCCCCCAGTCAGATTTCTCCCCAACCTACCTTGACATGGCCAGTTTCCGCTTGCAGCTCACAGGAGGACTGATCTCAGGTTCTTCTTTCACCGTTGTATCATCCATAACTTCTTTTTTCAAGATATCCTTCTCTTCTTTTACACAAATTCCATCCATTACCTCTTCCTCTTTTATGTTCTGGCCAGCCAACATCTCCTCCTTTTTTATCTCAAATTTAATTTCCTTCTCCTCCTTCACTTCCAGCCAGTCCATAACCTCTTCCTTCACCTTCACTTTCTCTTCCTTTATCGCTGGTTTATTCATCTTCTCTTCTTTTACCACCAAACTAGCATCCATCTCTTGTTTCACTTCCAATGTACCCGCTTTTTCATCCTTCACCTTCTTATCCTCCACCTTCTCATCCTCCACCTCTTGCTTCACCCACTGTGCATTCAACTTGTGTTCTTCTATTTCTGACCAGTCTGGGATTTCTTGCTTCACAACCTTTAGGTCGACTCGCATGTCCTCTGGTTTTTGTTCACTTCCTTCCCCTCCACCCCCTGTTTTCGGCATTCCTGTCAATCTATGCACCTCCCTTCCAGTGGAGGCCTTTGCCATCCCTGCTAAGACTCTGCCTCTCTCCCCACACGATTCGCGTTTTAGCCGCGCCCCCTCAGCTCCACTCAAGCAATCTCTTTCCCAAGTCCCTTCATTTTCAGCAGCAAACTCCATCAACTCACGGCCTGCGATCTCCGTTGCCACTGACTGGAACGTGGTCGCTCCCAAGCCAAGAATGAAGTACCAAACCCAAAACCTACATCAGCTCACGTGTCAGAGCGAGAAGCCGGGAGCACCAAATCCGCCGTAAAGCATCGCCTCCGTGCTGCGCCACTTCACGACTCTTAGAGCTCTTTACGGCTCCACGGGGGCCCTGCCCTGTTCTTCAAAGGGCACCAGGCGTGAAGTCACGCCCACTGTGACTCTCACCTCTCGGGGCGGGGCTTAGCCGCCCTCTATCCGGGAGAAGGCAGCCTCAGCCCTACCCCTGGCCAGAACACAGCTTTTGCTTCTTTGTACAGACTGGGGGGCGGGAGGGAGGGGGTAAAGAGGCGAATCCTTTTCGTGTTGAAATGGGGAATCCAACCTAATCTGTATTAAAAATTAAATCCAATCTTGTGAAAAATAGAGGAATCAAGCTTCAGTTTCATCACTTACACACAGTTGTTAGCTGCCTTGGAGTCTGCCTATTTATGGCTACCCCACTCACCATCGACCCGTGCAGAGCCCAAGTCCTGCAACATCCCCATGATGACCTATACACTTGAGGCAATAATAATATAAATATCTTAGTGTTCTTCTGAAGAATACATAAAATTGTATATGGAAATCAGCTAGCAGTGATTGGCACACGCAATCTTGGCTATTACTGGGTCTTTCAGGAGCTGTGGTGGCAGTGGTTAAGGCATTTTCCTGCTAATTAAAAGGTCTGTGGTTCTAATCCACCAGTCACTGCACAGGAGAAAGATGTGGCAGTCTGCTTCGGTAAAGATTTACGTCCTTGGAAACCCTTCAAAGCAATTCTACTCTGTCCTATGAGTAAGAATCAACTTAATGGCAATGGGTTTAATTATTGGGTCCTTGGATAGTATAAATGGTTAACCAATTTGGCTGCTAACCAAAAGATTGGAGATTTGAGCCCACCCAGAGGTACTTTAGAAGAAAAACCTGGCAATCTACGTGGAAAGATCTGCCACTGAAAATCCTACAGAGCACAGTTCTACTCTGAAACACCTGAGGTCATCATGAATTGGAATTGAGTTGGATGGGAAATAGGAGTTCTGGTGGTGTAGTGCCTAAGGCATTTGAGTGCTAACAAGAAGGTTGGCGGTTCAAATCCACCCACCCCTCCTCAGAAGGAAGGTTGGACAATCTTCTTCAATAGTGATACTGTCTGGGAAATCCAAGGAGGGGTCACTATGAGTCGGTTCCGACTCTAATGCAGTGAGTTTTGAGTTGATGGGAACTGTGGTGGTGTTTTTTTTTTTTTTTTTTTGGATTATATTCCTATATGTTGCAATATCTTCCCCCTTCATTTTCTTGAGAGTATTAGTAGCCTTAGCTTTTATGTATATTTGAAAAGAGGATCAAAAGGCTAGGACTTGGATTATGATTCTTCAGGTTTTTTTTTCAGGGGGAGGGGGTAAAAAGAGTAGATAAACCTCAGGTTAGAAAGGCTCTGGTGTCACAATCTGAGCTCCATTACTTCCAATTTGCCCTCCACTCCCTTGAAGAGAACATGCCTCTCAGGTTACTTCTCTATAACCCTTTATTTGCCATCCTTTTCCTAAGAACTATTGTCCTCTGTGAATAACAGCAGAGAAGGGAACTGTTCCAAGCTAACAGGTTGGAACATGCATGCAGGTTTCAGCTTTCCTGATGCTTATCTTTCTCCTTGGGTTGGTGCTGGGCTGGTAGGTGCTGCTGTTTTTATGCCCACCTTACATAGGAGCTCTGGTGGCCTAGTGACTAGGGCATTTGATTGCTAACCAGAAGGCTGGTGGTTCAAATCTGCCTGCCCCTTCTCAGAAGAAAGGTTGAGAGATCTACTGCTGTAGTGATACCGTCTTGGAAACCCAAGGAGTCACTGTGAGTTGGATTCCACTCAATGGCAGTGTGTTTGGTTTGATTTTGCTTATGTAGGAGCTCTGGTGGTGTGGTGCCTAAGGCATTTGGCTGCAAACCAGAAGGCTAGAGGTTCAAATCCACCTGCCACTCCCTCAGAAGGAAGATTGGACAATCTACTTCTGTACTGATATTGCCTTGGGGATCTGATTTGATGGCAGTGAGTTTGGGGTTTTTTTTTGGTTACATTAAAGTTGGCTGTGATACACCCAGGCTATGATCCACCCATGCCTGGAAGAAAAGGGCATGATCAGAGATTCTATTTCTTCATTCCACCTCCTACCTTCCCATCAATGTCCTTCTTTGATTCCCACCAGGAGACCAAACTCCCTTGGATCTCTTAGAGGTTTCTAAGAGTTTCTGAGTTAGATTCTAATATCCATCTCCCTCATATTTACATGACATCTTTAGGAATGGATTTGGGGATGCAGGCAGCCATTTTGTTAGTTTTCTATCCTATCAGGAACTGGAAGTCTCCAGAGTGAACTTTTTCTAGCAATAGGGTAGTGAATTTCTGAAATTGTTTGAGGAGTGTTCCAAATATCCTCCCACTGGGCTTGCCATCATGTTGCTCAGATTTTCCCAGGATGCCAAAAAGTTTCATTTCATTCAAACTTTGAGGTAATGCGGTAATTCCCATATGCTTATTCATGAACTGCTTCATCTGCATCACCTGGTGCATGTGCTCAAAAACACATTTCTAGGCCTCTCCTCAGAAGTAATTTGTCAAAATAGAACTATTGAGAAATCTGTATTTTATACAAATATCTTTGTGTGCTGCATCTGTCTGTTATCTCTGTATGGTGCCTCTGATAGGCAGCCAGGGTTGGGAACCAGTATATGAAGGTCCTTCAACTACATTGCCCAATATGGAAGCCACTATTCACAGTGGAAGGAATCTTGGTGGCACAGTGGTTAAAGCACTTGACTGTTAACCAAAAGGTCAGTGGTTTCAACCCACCAGTTGCTCCACAGGAGAAAAGATGTGGCACTCTGCTTCTGTAAAGATGTATATACCCTTTGGAAACCCCACGGGGCAAATCTACTCTTTCCTACAGGGTCACTGTGAGTCAGAATCGACTGGGTGGCAGTGGCTTGGTGGGTATCCACAGTGACTATTGAACTGAAATGTAGTTATAAGAACTGAAATATACTTTTTCCAAAGAAAGAAAGAAAAGAATGTAAACTATCTCATTAATAACCTTTTAATTTGATTGTATGTCAAAATGATAGTATTTTAGATATATTAACTCACTGACATCAAGTGGGTTCTGACTCATAGCGACCCTTCCTTGGGCTTCCAAGGCGGTATCTCTATGAAAGTAGATTGACCAATCTTCCTTCCAAGGAGTGGCTGGTGGGTTTGAACTGCTAGACTTCTGGTTAGCAGTGAAATGCCTTAGGCACTACGCCACCAGAGCTCCCTTAGATATAAAACAAACTCACTGCCTTTGAGTCGGGTCTGACTCATAGTGACCCCTTCTTGGGTTTCCGAGGTGGTATCACTGCAGAAGTAGACTGCCCACCCTTCCTTCCGAGAACAGGCTGGTAGGTTGGAACAGCCAGCCTTAGATATATTGTTGTTGTTGTTGTTGTTATGTGCCGTCGAGTCGGCCCCGACTCATAGCGACCCCTCCTTGGGTTTCCGAGGCAGTATCACTACGGAAGTAGGATTGCCCAACCTTCCTTCCGAGGAGTGGCTGGTGGGTTTGAACCGCCAGCCGTCTGGTTAGCAGGCAAGTGTCTTAGCCATTATGCTACCAGAGCTCCTAGAGATATATTAGGTTATATAAAATGTATTATTACAATTAATTTCACCTCCTCCTTTTTACCATTTTTAACTTAGTTACTAGAAAATTTAATATTACATATGCTGTCCACATTATATTTCTTTGGCAAAGTGCTCCATTAGAAGATGTTATTAAAACTCAAATTTCAATGAGGGGATTAACATAAAATGAATATTCAAAAATTATCTAAGCACAGTGTTGTTGTTGTTGTTGTTATGTGCCGTCGAGTCGAGTTGGACCTGACTCGTAGTGACCCCTCCTTGGGTTTCCCAGGCAGTATCACTACAGAAGTAAATTGCCCCATCTTCCTTCCGAGGAGTAGCTGATGGATTTGAACTGCCAGCCTTCTGGTTAGTAGTCAAATGCTTTAGGCACTATGCTACCAGAGCTCCCTGTAAGCACAGTAGTTTGCTTATAATTTGCTAATGTAGTCAACAGTTATCTCTTCAATCCATTGTCCAATCTGTTGTTATTGTTATGTGCCACGGAGTCAGTCTTGACTCATAACGACCCCTCCTTGGGTTTCTGAGGCGCATCACTACGGAAGTGGATTGCCCAACCTTCCTTCCATGGAGTGGCTGGTGGGTTTGAACCACAAGCCTCCTAGTTAGCAGTCAAATGCCTTAGGCACTACGCCACCAGAGATCACAAATCTGATTAACCTCCTTAAAACCATTCAATGCATAATTGTTGCTCTTAGGATAAAGAACTAAATCCTTACTATGTCCTTGAAAAGAGGATTTATATTCTGGCCCATGTCTATTCTCCAACCTTATCTCAGTTATTCATCCTTCAGATGGCAACTCAAGCAATACTTCCCTAGAGAAGCATTCATTGATGATGCCTCTCCTTGGTTGTTGTGTGTGTGTGTATGATTCATTCAGAACACTATTTTCAAGTTGCAACTATATATTAATCAATATAGTAAAACCTGGAAAAGCCAGAACCTGTGTGAGATGGAAACCTGTCAGTGAAGGAAAACTCAAATGCTATTTTCCACTAACACAGCCACAGAAAAATAATAAGGCTGCACCCTGTCAAAGGTCAAACCTTGTGAGACCTGGAAAAACAAGGCAGCCCCCTGAGTCCTGGTTCTCACAGGTTTCACTGTCTTATCATTTGGTTAACAACAGTTTCTGCCACTAGACAATAAGCTAATGAAACACAGGGATGTGAAGTGGAGGGAGAAAAGTTTGACAGATAATCAGAGGCCAAGTTACCAATGCCTTTTAAGCCATGCAAAGGAGCTTGCTCTCCTTC